TCGGGCGGGCGGACCCTAACGGGCGAGTCGGGTCGGGTCGGGCGGGCCCTAACGGGCGGGTCGGGTCGGGCGGGCGGGACATTAAAATATGGTGCGTGTACACTTGACACGCGTGAACCCTCACGGGCGGGTCGGGTCGGGTCGGGCGGGCGGACCCTAACGGGCGGGTCAGGCCGGGCGGACCCTAACGGGCGGGTCGGGTCGGGCGGGCCCTAACGGGCGGGTCGGGTCGGGCGGGGGGGACATTCAAGTATGGTGCGTGTGCACTTGGCACGCGTGAACCCTAACGGGCGGGTAGGCCTCGGGTAGGCCTAGGGGGTAGGCCTAGGGGGTAGGCCTCGGGTAGGCTAGGCCTAGGGGGTAGGCCTAGCCTAGAGGTAGGCCTGGGGTAGGCCTAGGGGTAGGGCCTAGGGGGTAGGCCTAGGGGTAGGCCTAGGGTAGGCCTAGGGGGTAGGCCTAGGGGTAGGCCTAGGGGTAGGCCTAGGGGTAGGCCTAGGGTAGGCCTAGGGGGTAGGCCTAGGGGTAAGCCTGGGGTAGGCCTAGGGGGTAGGCCTAGGGGTAGGCCTAGGGTAGGCCTAGGGGGTAGGCCTAGGGTAGGCCTAGGGGGTAGGCCTAGGGTAGGCCTAGGGGGTAGGCCTATGGGTAGGCCTAGGGTAGGCCTACCCACCGGGTTCTATATGTTCACCTCCTCCTCCTCCTCCTCCTCCTCCTCCTCCTCCTCCTCCTCCTCCTCCTCCTCCTCCCCCATGGTGGGCCCGCCGAGGAGGCGCGGGTGCGCCCCCGGAGGCCGTGGCGCGCTGCTGGCTGCGAGGAGGCGCGGGTGCGCCCCCGGAGCTCCCAGGGTCGAGGGGCAGGGCGAGAGCGGGAGGAGGCGGGGAGCAGGTGGGGCGAGGGGAGGGAAGGAGGGAGGAGTGAGGCGAGAGAGGGGGGGGAGAGAGAGAGAGAGAGACGACGTGGTATGTACACCGTGAATACCTCACACAGAGAATGGGAGGACTTGTGGGAGAGACAGAGAGAAAGAGAGAGATAGAGAACAACAAAAACGATATAGAGAACGCACACTTGGCAGCGAGGGGGAGAAAGAGACAGAGAGAAGAGAGAGAGAGAGGCAGAGAGAGAGGGCCAGAGACACGATAGACAGAACAACACAAGATAGAGAGAGAGAGAGAGAGAGAGAGAAAAAAAAAAGAGATGCATAGACAGAGGAAGGAGGAGGATGGGGGAGGGAGGGTGTGACTTACATGTCAATGACACGTGCATGGCGATCGCCACTAGGAGTTAGGAAAGCCTCCACGCCACTCTAATGGGAGGCCTCTTTGGAAACATTGACCTGCACAGGCTACTCGGGATGCTCGCTTTCGCGCTTTCCACCCTTTTCCCCCTCGTGCTCCTCCTCCTCTTCACCCTTTCCATCCTCCTCCCCCTCATCCTCCCACTCACCCGTGGCTTCTGGACAGGCTTCGGGATCCTCAAAAGATGTTCGGCGATCAAAGACCTGCGTCAGGACCTGGAAGACGTGATTGATCTGCTTCCTGTAGATCCTGTGACGGGTGGAGACGTGGACATGAACTCCATTATCGGGGAGACGTAAGACTCAAGCTAGGGGATTCGAATTCTCTTGACAGAGCCTTCCAGAGAATGACGGGGCCTAAACTGAACTTGGCGCGAGCTCTCCTTGCAAACATCCCACTAAAACTGGACCGCCAAAATGCATGCCGGGACCGTCAAGAGGCGGCGGCACACCCGGCTTCTGGCAAACTCGATCCTTACGTCTCCCCGACCTCATCCCGCTCCTCATATGCAGAGGGCGGCAAGCAAGGGCATGGGCAGGAAGGGAGACCGGCAGGCAGGGAAACCTGCGGGGAGAGAAAGAGAGGAAGACAGAGATAGAGACGAGAGAGAGAGAGAGAGAGACAGAGCGGGCGGGATGGAGGAGCCGAGAACTCGCGATCTGCCCTAGCTGGATACCACCCTCCTCTTCCAGCTCGCCCGCCCCCTTCTTTCCACATCTCCGCCCGCTTCTTCCACATCTCCCTTGCGTGCCTAGTACACCCGCATCGATCCCATCTCCTCGCCTACAATATTGTTTCCTTTCTCTCGGCATCCCCCCTCGATCCATCCACGGAATCACTTAAAAAACGAACACAGCCTCGATCAATCCTGTCGCACACTGTCCGTGTCCTACTTGGGCATCCTTCAAGACACGACCTCGCCAGACCAGACGGATTGCACCGACTGATGTGTAGCCACATGAAGTATGGTTGACGACGGCACAACAAAAACTGCCGATGGCTGCATGTTTAGTGATAAGCAGGAGGCGTCCAATTTGGCACATGTCTTCGAGCACAGCAAGGGACAAACACAACAAGGACACTATAGCTGAACGTGAAGCGTACAAAACACATGGCGTCTGTAGACGGTAACCCACGCCTACCGAAACACCTCTTCCCCTCGAGGCGGTTGGCATCAGGCCGGTCCTCTTCTGCTGGTGCAGGCCGACAAGGAAGGCGAGCGTATTCACCTTCCATGCGGCGAGACCGCATCTCCCGCCCCATCTGCCGCAAGCCTCACACTGATGGTACCTCATGTATGATGCCGGGAGGGGGAGGAGAAGCAAACGTAGGAGGGCAGGGGATGGGGTGAGCGAGAAAAAAAAGGAGCGGGAGGGACAGGAATCCAGAGGAGAGCAAAAGACGGGAGACATAATGTGGAAACGAGGGGGACATGTGGAGGCGAGGGCGGAGGGGGACAAAGCGCAGAGTCATCACCAGGTCGCCGGGATAGCTGCGGGTCGGGGGGCCCTTGTCAATACCTTTCTGGGATATCCCCACCTTGCGCCGAGAGATTAAGCAGCAGGGGGAGCGCAAGAGACACGGACACGCCTTCGGCTCCAAGTCGTCGAGGATCTCCTCCAAGCTCTCGCTGCCAGACGCGACGTGATTTACGCTTGTCTTGAGGACATTGAAAAGGCTCGTCGAGGCGGCGAACTTGTCGGGAGAGAGCTGCCTTGTCTGGAGCATTCATTCACCGACCCAGACATCACACGTACCAGATCCAGAAACTGGCACAGGGGCGAGTTGAGTGTCTGCTTCTGCATCTTATCCTGGCATTTCCCGTGTAGTTGATCGAAACAGGCCCCAGAATCCCGTTCCCTGGGCTTCTGAAGCGAGTTTGAAAAACTGCCCCGACCCGAACAAATGGTCCGAGGATACGCCGTTCGGATCCAGTCGAGGCTGAACGGCCATCGGGGCCAGTGACAGGGCCGCGTAGGCGGAGTAAGGAGGCCGACATCGCGCAGACGGATCGCCACCGATTAAACCTTCTGAAACGGCGGAGGTCGCGCTTCGATTGTTGATCCTACGTATGGCGTCGGCCCTAGCAACCCTGGCCAGCCCGCCCCAGAACTTTCAACCGGCCTGCCCTATCTTGCAGATGGTGTCCGCCAGCTCCCTGCGGACGACGGCCGCTGGAGGGGGCATCGCCGCCAGCCGCGCGCGCTCGGCAAACGAGAGGCGCCAGCCGAAGCAAAATGGCTACGGTTCCCTCCTAAGAGGCTGGAGGCGGATTAGGAGGGTGCACGGGGAAAGGGAGAGGACAAGACAGGGTAGGAGGACTGACTAGAGAGGTTAGCCACAGGAAGCTGGATAGCACTCAGTGAGTAGTTGTGGAAGGTGCAGAAGTGGCAGGCCCCAGGGCGAGAGAAACCTTTGGAGCGAAGAACGAAAACGCTCCAAGTGAGATGTCACGGCCAAGCGAGGGTCCCTCGTCTGCGATTTCTCTTCCCATTGCGTGCTGCGGCCTGGCCCTGACCCACGAACACAACGCGACGCGCCCTGGGACAGCACGCCCGCCTGAGCTTCTCGCTCAGGCCACGCAGCTGGTGAGGGCGCGCCAGGCGCCCGGGCCCGGCGCGCTCGTGCGCGTGCGCGCCGATGCGCGCGGACTACAAAGTACAAGTGGCTACAAATACTACTACTTCTACGTTCACTACTGAGACGACGACGACGACGACGACGACGACGACGACGACGACGACGACGACGACGACGACGACGACGACGACGACGACGACTACTACTACTACTACTACTGCGACTACGACTACGACTACGACTACGACTACGACTACGACTACGACTACGATTACGACGACTACGACTACGACTACTACTACTACTACTACTACAACTACTACTCCTACTACTACTACGGCTATTAGAACTGATACTACTACTACTACTACTACTACTACTACTACTACTACTACTACTACTACTACTACTACTACTACTACTACTACTACTACTACTGCTACTACTACTACTACTACTACTACTACTACTACTACTACTACTACGACTACTACTTCTACTACTTCTACTACTACTACTACTACTACTACTACTACTACTACTACTACTACTACTACTACTACTACTACTACTACTACTACTACTACTACTACTACTACTACTACTACTACTACTACTACTACTACTACTACTACTACTACTACTACTACTACTACTACTACTACTACTACTACTACTACTACTACTACTACTACTACTACTACTACTACTACTACTACTACTACTACTACTACTACTACTACTACTACTACTACTACTACTACTACTACTACTGGCGGTCTCGTGCACCACATCACCACGGCTCAACCACCTAGGGAAGAGCGTCCTTGTGGCTGCCTCATGCCAGTATGTAGCGCGCACCTCTTCTGGGTGAAAGGGCGGGTCTGACATGCTTGCAACGTCAGGCGCTCGCACCGTGGGCAGTTGGGCCAACAGCCCAAGGTGAAGCGCCAGCAACGGCACAGCAGCACACGGGGCGACCCCAGTACCGCCACCCAGGCCGACTAGCGCGGGAAGACGCGAGGCTAGGCCTGGGTGGCAAGCCAAGGGCGGACCTGACGTGCATGCAGCAACTGGCGCCTGGCCGAGGGCAGCTGGTCCCTTCAGCAAAAAGTAAGGCGCAGGCGGCAGCATAGCAGCACACGGGGCGACCCCAGTACCGCCACCCGAGCCTACAAGCGCAAGAAGGCGCGAGATGATGCCAGGATGGCAGGCCAAAATGGCCAGGCGCCCGACGGCGACGCTGCAGTACACGGGGCTGCCCCAGCACCGCCAGCGAGGCCAACGAGCGCAAGTGAACGTGAGGAGGCCGAGATGGCAAGCCAGTTGGCGAGCCAAGGTGGCAGAGTGCACAGGTAGCCATTCGCCTAGCCGAGGCACAGGCTACAGGTGACGCCACGCGAGTGGGGGCGCCGCTATGGGCCCGCCGCACTACAGAAAGCAGCAAGTAGACAATTTGGCATGTACTCACGCGGCCTGTTAAGGCCCTGGAACCTGCTGGGCATTATCCCTCAGGCCTGCTGGCCTGTTCCCTGCGCGATGGCGGCGAAGACCTGCGATGGCAGCGCCCGCGCCTCCCCGCCGAGGTCGCCACTGCCCCCCGCCTGCCCTGTGGGCCCAAAGATCTGGCGCTCGAGGTCTTCACCGAGGGCCACGTTCATGGCTGCAGCGCTTGTGACCTGCTGCGGGGGCGCGTCCGTCTGCGGCGGCGGGTGGGTCGGCGGCGGCGGCGGCGCATCAGGGGGCGCCGTCGGCGGCGGCGGCGGGGGGCCCATGATGGCCACGGCCTCTGGCGGGACTCCCGCTGGCGGTGGTGGCGGGTCCTCGCTGCCGCGGGCCCCGCTCGCTGGTGGGGCACTGGCGTTGCGAGCGGGGGTGGCGCGCGGGGCGAACCCTGTGCCACCCCCGCCGCCCGAGAGGCTGCCCGCCTTCAGGTTGTGGCGGCGCTCGTAGAGCGCCAACTCCCTGTGCGCCATCTCCAGGCGCTCCCTCTTGGCTTTTTTCCGCGTCTTCTTGCTGTGCCCCGCCCATTCAGGGTCGTTCAGCCCCCAGGCGACCTGCGCGTAGAGGCCGGTCCACTCGAACGTGGGCAAGCTTTCCCAGGTGAGCCCCTCCATCACCACATAGTGGCCCTCCCACTGCGCCTGGTGTGGAGCATAGCGCTTGAAGACGGTGCCAACCGCCAGCGGCTCAACCTTGGGCAGGTACTTCAGGAGGTCCACCGCGTTGATCACTGAGATCCCCTCCTTCTTGAGCTTGTCGTAGCGCAGAAGGCCCTTCAGGTCGCGGATGTCCTCCTCGGGATGCTCCGCGTGCATGTAGTACGCGCGTGGCGGTTTCGCCTCCTCCTCTATGAACTCGACGCAGACTCCGTAGGAGGTCGAGTAGCGCGCCCCGCAGTGGCAGTACCAGCGCTGGCCCGTCTCTCCCGCTGCCTCCTGGGCGCATGAGAGCAGCTGTGACCAGCGATCCGATCGGATCACCGAACAGCATCCCCTGGGATTATCCCAGGTCTTGTTGGCCGCGCACTTGTAGTACATGTTGAACGTGAAGCCCTTATCACGGTAAAACTGGTCCGTGTAGTCGCCCATGCGGCGGTAGGCCTCCTGCGCCGCGGTGTTACCCTGGCACTCCTCCTTCCAGGCACGGTTGTGTCCCAGGCGGGCGTCTGCAATCCCCGAGGCTTCCAGGACACCCCTCTTCGGCCTTCCCACATCCTCCTCCGCCTCCTCGTCCAGCGCGTCGAGCCGCTTCTGGACTCCGTCCTGCGCCTCGGCGCCCCTCACCATGTCCTCCTTCTTCTCCAGGATGGCCCCCAGGCCGCCCAGCATGTGGGTGCGCATGGTCTCGAATTTGAGGGCGCCATAGGCCCGCGCCACGCGCTTCAGCGACTTCTTGGATAGGCCGAGCCGCAGCAAGGGCTCGATGTCCATTACCTCCTTCACGGTCTGGGCCTCGGTCAGCTGGGGCCCCTGGTCTTCCGCGTCCACGTCGGGCTGAGGGTCGTTCTCCTCATCACTGGGAGGTTCTTCCTCGAGGGGCGGGGGTGGCGCACGGGGCGGCCCTGGCACCGCCCCCGCCTCCCTCGCCATTGGGCGGCCCACCTCCCTCGCCACTTCTTCCGTGGCTGGGGGGGGCGCCTGTGCTCTCAGGGTCGATGCCCACCCCCGCGCCTTCCGTTGACCTCCGCAGGGCAAGCAAGCCTTCCTCTGAGAGCGCGAACCCCACCAGGACGTCCATGCCCTCCTCGATGTAGCCAAAGCTCGCACGGAACTTCGCCACCCGCTTGGCGGCATGGTCGATGGAGCCTGGGCCCTTGTTCGCGCGCGCAGCGCCCGTCACGGCCTCGCGCTCGGAGATGCCCTCCGACGTCGCCACGCAGTTCGAGCACATGTACAGCTTGTACTGCCCCTCTTTGTCCCTCCTAAGTTCGGGGTATTTCTCGTTGTCCTCCTTGGCCATCGCATAGTGGCGCATCTCCGCACAGCTGAGCTCGTCCACGTACTCCACCGCCATAATCTTCCAGTCGTCCAGCGCCGTGCAGCTCCGACACCAGCCCAGGCGGTGCGGCGGTGCCCAATATGCGCCCATGCAGTGGACGTAGCCCGCCTCAGCGTAGTTCTCCTCCTTCATCACCTCTACGTCTTCGAGCGCGGCTGGCGTGCCGTCGCTCGACTGGGGGACCTGGCCGTAGACGGCTTTGTTGCTGCGTCGGCGGTGGCGCTTGCCCCCACGGCCGCTGAGGGCTCCCGTGGTCGCAGCACTCGGGGCCTCGCTGGCGGTCCCGTCGTCCACGGCGCGCTCGCCGTCTGCCGCGCTGCGCGCCCCACGGCCGCCACGGCCACCCACAGCATGATCCCTCAGCTGAAGGTTGTGGAGCGCGAGGGTGAGCGCGTCCAGCCCGCGCCGCTGCTCTGTGGTGAAGTCGGCATACGTGGCTGCCGCCGCCAGGGCGGCTGGCGTCACTGGCACCACCGCCGATGCAGGCATCGCCGAGGCGCCATCGGAGGCGGCGGCACTGGGGGCGGCCCCCGTGCCGCCACCTCCATCGGCGTCCTCAGCGGGGGTCGCTGATCCCGTGTGCACCGCCGGTGCCGTCCGAAAGGTCGCCGCCTCGGACACCATGTCGCACTCCTCGCCTTCGCTCTCCGACAAGCTTACCTGCTGGACAGGGCGCTGCGTCGGCCTTGCTTTGGAGGTTGGTGCCTCCCCCGCGGCGCGCATCTTTGCGGGCCACGGCGTCGGCGCAGGCTTCGAGAACTTGGGCGCCATCACTTGGTCGGGTGGATGGCGCGGGAGGTGCAGCTCGAGAGAATGTGCGAGGCAGGTACTCACGAGCCAAACAGCTGACGGGGGGGAGAGGGGGGGGGGAGAGGCTGTGCACCGAACCACAATGGGGCGGCCAACTGCCAGGGCGGGACAAAGGTGACACAGGAAGACTAGGGGCTGAAGCCAACGGTTCCAGGTGCGTGGGACCCGTTCATTATGCTGGCGGAAAACGGCCTGACCCCCGTTCGGGGCCCTGGACGGACAGGAGAGGGGGGAGGGGGGCGAGGAAACCACGTCGCGGGCGGGCGACAAAGCGGGCGTCGGGCTGCCGACGGCCCCATGACCCGCGGGGAGGCCCCGATCTTCAACGCCTCTCGACGCCTCTTTAGCCA